CTTAAGGTGGTCTTATACCCTAAAAATGAAATTTTTTATTAACTATCTTTGAATATATCTTTTTATACCATCTTATAGATTATCACTTCCTGACTCCAAAATAACTGTTTTCACCTCGCGAATGTTAATAGTTAATGATTAACCAGCCCCCCACTGGTGAAAAATGTGGGTCTATTATAAGCAGCATAACTCCGCTTAGAATGGTCACAGAAAAGTAAAATTAGCTTTATTCTATTTCAAAATAAATTACCCAGGTGTTAAACCTCAAAAAATAAGGAAACTATGATTGCTTTGATAATTTTTCCTATGAAAAAGGGAAAGCAATGACAGATACTTCAAAAACATTTTTACTGCAAGTACAGTGTTAAACATTCCCAATTTTTTTGAGGTTTGTCACCAAGGGAATAACATCAGGAAATAATGCTGAAAGTTTCAAGTCAATTAGTTAAAACCCCACAGAGATATCCTGCTTGGAAGTGTCGCAATTTGGTAATTTTCATAATTTGAGAAAAATGGTTCTAAAGTTGAGACATAATTTAATGAGATAATGTTCTTCTCATTTTTAATGAAATAACCTCAATTAAACTTTTTTCAGCCACAGTTTTGCTTGATAGCATTAAATAAGAGTTCAGAAGGATCCTGAGGCATAAGTCACTCCTTCTGTTTCTTGTGCTTGATCCCCTTTTTGTTTTCGACGGGCTCGAAGCAACTTTCTTTTTCGCTTAGAGGTATCTCTTTCTTTGTAAATTGCTTTGCCAAGCCTCAGTTTGTCACTTCTTTTCATTTCCTCAAGACAGAACTCCCCAGGTTCAATTCCACTGTTTGTGAGTGTATTTAATGCTGCTTGGCTTCCAATATTGAAGTGGGAAACAGCATCATTCACTCCAAGCTTTAAAGTGTCAGCTCCCACAAACACATCTTTTGGCACTCGGTCCCATATCATCCCATTTATGGCTTCATTTTGATTCTGGGTCTTTCCATCCAAGCACCTGGTCAGCAGAGCATCCTCACTCAGCCTGAAGTAAATTGGCTTAAGCTCAGCAATGATTTCAACAGGGAGCCCAGGACCTGGTTGAACAACTTTGTACCATTTGCAATGTCTCTGTTGAAGCGACACCAGCTGTCTGCTCCTTCAGGGCAATAACAATGTAAATTGCGATCCTTTGAAGAGGCACAATGCATGAGGCTAGCATAAATTGCCTTCTTCATTTCCGATAGATTGCCAACATTGCTTCTTATGGCAATCCCATAATAATTTTGCAGCCTGTCTATCATTCTATCAGTCAGCTTTCCTTTACCGCCCATACCTTTTTTCTCTTTCTTTAGTTTTCTTAAAGCTGTCCCCACACGCTTCTGGACATGTCCAACACATTCTTTCTTTACAACTTTAAGTCCTTTGTCTATGTAAGTCTTCTCTACTCCATTGAAACCCTTGCTATCTCCATCCCCATAATATTCAGTGTAACGCAATTTGTGTTTTTCCTCACTTCTCTCAAAGATTCGCTTCACTCCTTCTGTTTCCATTGATGGAGCTGAGCCTTTAAAATTTGCTTTGCATTTTGGGGCATGGTTTATCTGCCACTCCTGCTCTGCTTGGAGATCATTATTGGTCTCATGTCTTTGGCAGGTCTGGCAGACTTTGCTCAGCAGTTCAACATCAAGGCATTTGCCTGTGTCAATTGATAATACTGCTACACAACCATTCAATGAGGAGTGGCCTCTTTTCTGCCAGGTCCCATCGCAAGAAACCCCACAGTTTGAAAATCCTTCAACATCTTCACCTTTCAAATGGTGAATTTCTTTTTGGGCATCACTCGTGGTCTGATTGGCCACAGCTTTTGCTGCTTTGAGCAGAGCTTTGTTGTGCTTACTGTATGCCTTTGGTTTTGGTGGGGGTGGCATGTTCATAATTCCACAAAATCTCCTAGCGAATGCTTCCCCTTGCCCAATCGTTCTCATCCCATAAACAAGTCTTCTGTTCACCTCATAATAGCTTGATATCTTTTTAGACGTGTAAAAACAATGGTTCCACCCACAGTCCAAGCATAATAATCGAAGACATGATGCACAACCATGCCTTTGAAAGGATACCTCTGTTGACTGAATATTTGACTCACCACACTCTTGGCAACACAAGAGCCTCAATACATCAGCCAAGATTTCCACATCTATTAGACGATATCCACTCAGACTGCTGCCGATTATTTCTTCTTTTTCTTCTTTAACCTCAAGCTTGGCCTTGATCTTCCTTTCTGAGGCAGACTAGATAGTTACATTTCCGTTGATAGGTTTTTTGATTTTCGCCGATTTAGGACTTCTCTGAATATGCTGATTTCCATGGTACTTACATTTATGGGGTCTATTGCCAGTTCTCCTTTTGATTCCACGCTGAATACTTTTTTGGTCCCATGATACAACTTAGAGAGAACGTTGGGCATGAGATTTTTTAACGTTTTCCCCAAAAGCAAGGGATTTGAAGGCTCTCAAAGCTGCTCTTTTCTCATTGGAACCACTTTTCTTCACCTGCTTCAGGCCCTCTGAAATATCAGCTGCCATTGCTCTCAAAGACTGTTTCTTTTTCTTCTTCTGGAGTCTTGAATGTGCCTGCCTTTACGAGATGTTTTCTTGTTCTTGCACTAGCACTTATTTTCTGGATTATTTCAGTGCACTTTTTTGGAGTTTCGGGCAGTGATTTTGTAACTTTCCTTACTGCCCTACTTGTCACCATTCTGTTTGTAAATCCAGTTGCATCGCCATCACAATCATCCGCTCCCTGTGCATCTGCAATTTGCTTTCTTTTCTCTCTGAACTTTTTTACTCTTTCCCTGGTTTGCTGCCTTTTGTTTTTCCATCTTCTCCTCCCAGGCAATTTTCTTTTCTTCTCTTTTGTGAGCCCGCTTCACGCTGTTTGCTGACTCCACCGTGTGTTGGCGAGTTCACTGAACAGGGCTTTCTTCAGTTGGCATTTTTCTCTAGCAGATGCAGCCCTCTTCTCGCAATTTTTCTCGTACTTTTGATTGTTCTGTCTATTCTTTTCCTTCTTTTTTCTTCTCCACTCTTCGATTCCTGAGAGCTTTTCTGGCTTGTTTTTTCCCATAACGAAATGAAATAATTTCGAATGCAAATACAGTATTTACAGATTGCTCAATTCCCGGAAAATTAAATCCCCTAAAAATTTTCTCCGACATCCATTTCAGGAGAGGTTACTAAGCTTTTTCTTCGACACAAAAGCATGACATCGTTGCAAAGTAAACTGTAAATTTCACAAGGCTTTTTAGCAAGGTTATGGCCACATGGTGGCACGCATGCTCTCTCTTTTTATGCTGAATGTTTCCAGATACTTTTCCTTCTTGTCTTTTCTTCTTGGATTCCAGCAACTAAACATACCTCAGAGAGCTGGTATTTTCTTTTGAAATTTCAGAAAATCAATCGCAAACTCCTCAGATCTCTCCTTGAAAATTTCATTGAACTGTTTGTAACACTCTTGCATTGAGGGTGCTCTGAATTTTGCTGTTCCCTCTCCGTTTTCCTGGCGAAACGTTTGAGTTGTTTCCTTCACTTTTTCTAGAGCAGCCGTCCAAGCAAAGCCGCAACTTGTCAGGCAAATAAGGGTAGCAACCATTTTTACTTTGAAGAGCGAACTGTGCTTGTGAACTGAGCCACTTTGAAAGAAATACTAGTGTGGTTGAAGTTAGTGGAATTTTAACTGAGCAGTACATTATATGCCCACATAAATTAACAACAGACCATCTTTTAAATATTTTAAGATTTTAATGGAATATCGTTTCACCAAAATAGGCTTTGAGGGTAAAATTAAATTTCACATTAGCAGTTTAACAACCTCACTGTCTGCTTTAACAGCCACAAATGCCCTTCGTTCCTCACGGCACTGCATCAAATTATGTTATAAAATCGCAAAGCCTAGAAGTCATTCAGTATAGACCCTTTTCGGCAAAACATTTCTACTTTTCAAGCGATGATTTTGTTGTGGGAAGTAGCATTTCTCTCCAGAAAGGAAGTAGCATTTCTCGCCTACCTTCTGAAATGTCATAGCAACAGTGACCTCCACTGTTTCTAAAACCCATAGGTTCACAAACAAAATGGTGCTCTGAAATCAAACCGAAGTCGAGTGCGCGAATTCAACTGCAGGAGCAGTTTTTACACACTTTAGCCACGTGTTTGACCCAAAACATTTTTGTAGGACCCCAGTAAACATGTTATTTACTGGAAAGGCTACATTCGTGAAAAGAAAAGAATCAGTTCGACATTTGCCACAATCTACCCAGAAGTGCCTAAATTCACTGTAGAACATTGAACAGAAAGTTAAGTCATCCTTGCCAGTGCGTTTCAGATTCTTCATCTCACGAACTATCATTCTGACAAGTTTGGCGTTTTAAGGCAAGCAAAAAGTACTCCTGCAAGGATAGCAAATAATATTGGCGGGAAAATGTACATTAAAGTGTCACGTGACACTTGTGTGCTGACAGTTAGTGTTGGGAAAACTAGGAAAAAATTCTTCAAAGCAATCTAGTGCATAAAGACTCATATATACGGTTTTCATAATTTTAAATTTTATTGCATTTTTGCCTATTTTTTAAGCTTCACCCAGACCTTAACATACCTGTGAAGGGGCCGTCTCACAAGCTACGTAAGGGCAACTATCTGCCTCGTGCAGTTACTTGCCACCATTACAGGAATGGATTCATCGGTAAGTGTGAATATTAAACTTGTGCTATAGTAGTATTTTTTAAATCAGAACCTGCAAAATCGAATGTTTGCCACTTTGGAAACTCCAACAGAAGGCTGTAAATGCCAATGTTGTTACAGCACCAAGCGGAAAGGTATGAGTTATTGTGGTTAAACTTGTAAAAGCTGTAACCGGCACTGTGGAGACCACTGTTGATGTGGCAGAAAAAATAACAAGCCGTGCAAGAGCAGGGTAAGTCCCTATTGAAAATAAATCAAATCTGTTTATAGTTTGGTTTCTGACATTTTTCTTTAGTAGTTCAGTTCAAGTCTGAAACTATTCCTATTCTTTATGTGCTTTTAGGAATCGCAAGATACAATTTATGCTACTTTACCATGTGAGAAATGTGAGTGCTTGAAGCGATCAGGGTTTTCAGCTTTCCAGTGCCAACAACTGTGCTAATTATCGCCTATTAAACCAAAGAAGAGGAGAGGATTAAAGAAAACATCGACGTAAAGGTAGTGTTGAAATCTTTAAGTACTATTTTACTCCGAGAAGTGTAAAGACTGTAAAGACTGTTTACTTACTTATTTCCCATAATCTACATGTGAAGCATGCACTGTCGGTTACATCAGCAAGTTCCATTTGTTTCACTACAATCCTGTTGATTTGACAATTTTTTAAAAAAAAACAGATTATGGCTGCACTCTTCTATTCCAATCAGCTTACAGGAAGATCACTCCCAATTGTTTTGAAGACTATCTGTAAATGCACCCTAGCTATAGTGGACCAGGGAGTTTTACACATAACTTTTTTGTTTCATCTGTCATTGTTTTGTTTCATTCTTCTAATAAGAGTTTATGGATACACTGGATGCCCATATGATACGGAAACTAGCTATTAAGGTCACTAAGAAGAGGAATTGGGAGTATGGACTTCATCCATACTCTCCTTATTTTAGAAAGACCAGTTACATGCAAAATATTCTTCCTAATGGGAAAACATTAAACTGGCTGGTGTGACTAAAAATTAACTAAAACAACCAGAGATGAAAGTGAAACTTAGCCAAGGCAAAGTGCATACTTATGCAAGTAAAATCTTTTGATACAACAACGATTTTTTGTATTGCTATTGTATGCATTAGCCATGCACCACCCACCTTGACCACCTTGGCCACCTTGGCTTTTCAATTTTTGTAAGTCTTGAATTCAAAGGTCTACTTATTGCCCTTTTTGCCCTACATTTTTGTTGTTACATCCATATGTGCCTGAAAGATTGCTGAAAACAAGGGATAAGGATCAGCAATACATGGGTAGGAAATTAATTGTGAGGCATGCAACTGTTTATTTTTCACTAGATTTTTACTGTGTGGCATCTAGAGAAAGCAAATTGTTTTCCAAAAAAGTCACAATGTATATGTACGTATGCTTTATTGAAGCAACATTAGACTCCCGACCTTGCGAGAGTTAAACATGAGAAATACACCTGCAACTGAGCAAGAGTGATACATTTCCAGTTTGAATTCAGCTTTCATTTCTCATGTTACTATTGCATGAAAACAACAGCAACAGTTCCTGGAAGCAATGTCATGAATGTATATATGAATCAATGTTTGGTACTATTGTGATTGAAAGAGATCAGATGCTACAATGTACCGGCATACTTTCTAACTAAAAGCTGCATGTTTGTTAATCCTCTCCATATGTACATGGAAATCTAGTGCCAATAGATATCAGATGTATAATAAACAGTCATCAGAAATTCACAAAGTGAGGTCTTTTAAAATTCGTGTTACTGCACAGTAGTGAAAGAAANCTTAAGGTGGTCTTATACCCTAAAAATGAAATTTTTTATTAACTATCTTTGAATATATCTTTTTATACCATCTTATAGATTATCACTTCCTGACTCCAAAATAACTGTTTTCACCTCGCGAATGTTAATAGTTAATGATTAACCAGCCCCCCACTGGTGAAAAATGTGGGTCTATTATAAGCAGCATAACTCCGCTTAGAATGGTCACAGAAAAGTAAAATTAGCTTTATTCTATTTCAAAATAAATTACCCAGGTGTTAAACCTCAAAAAATAAGGAAACTATGATTGCTTTGATAATTTTTCCTATGAAAAAGGGAAAGCAATGACAGATACTTCAAAAACATTTTTACTGCAAGTACAGTGTTAAACATTCCCAATTTTTTTGAGGTTTGTCACCAAGGGAATAACATCAGGAAATAATGCTGAAAGTTTCAAGTCAATTAGTTAAAACCCCACAGAGATATCCTGCTTGGAAGTGTCGCAATTTGGTAATTTTCATAATTTGAGAAAAATGGTTCTAAAGTTGAGACATAATTTAATGAGATAATGTTCTTCTCATTTTTAATGAAATAACCTCAATTAAACTTTTTTCAGCCACAGTTTTGCTTGATAGCATTAAATAAGAGTTCAGAAGGATCCTGAGGCATAAGTCACTCCTTCTGTTTCTTGTGCTTGATCCCCTTTTTGTTTTCGACGGGCTCGAAGCAACTTTCTTTTTCGCTTAGAGGTATCTCTTTCTTTGTAAATTGCTTTGCCAAGCCTCAGTTTGTCACTTCTTTTCATTTCCTCAAGACAGAACTCCCCAGGTTCAATTCCACTGTTTGTGAGTGTATTTAATGCTGCTTGGCTTCCAATATTGAAGTGGGAAACAGCATCATTCACTCCAAGCTTTAAAGTGTCAGCTCCCACAAACACATCTTTTGGCACTCGGTCCCATATCATCCCATTTATGGCTTCATTTTGATTCTGGGTCTTTCCATCCAAGCACCTGGTCAGCAGAGCATCCTCACTCAGCCTGAAGTAAATTGGCTTAAGCTCAGCAATGATTTCAACAGGGAGCCCAGGACCTGGTTGAACAACTTTGTACCATTTGCAATGTCTCTGTTGAAGCGACACCAGCTGTCTGCTCCTTCAGGGCAATAACAATGTAAATTGCGATCCTTTGAAGAGGCACAATGCATGAGGCTAGCATAAATTGCCTTCTTCATTTCCGATAGATTGCCAACATTGCTTCTTATGGCAATCCCATAATAATTTTGCAGCCTGTCTATCATTCTATCAGTCAGCTTTCCTTTACCGCCCATACCTTTTTTCTCTTTCTTTAGTTTTCTTAAAGCTGTCCCCACACGCTTCTGGACATGTCCAACACATTCTTTCTTTACAACTTTAAGTCCTTTGTCTATGTAAGTCTTCTCTACTCCATTGAAACCCTTGCTATCTCCATCCCCATAATATTCAGTGTAACGCAATTTGTGTTTTTCCTCACTTCTCTCAAAGATTCGCTTCACTCCTTCTGTTTCCATTGATGGAGCTGAGCCTTTAAAATTTGCTTTGCATTTTGGGGCATGGTTTATCTGCCACTCCTGCTCTGCTTGGAGATCATTATTGGTCTCATGTCTTTGGCAGGTCTGGCAGACTTTGCTCAGCAGTTCAACATCAAGGCATTTGCCTGTGTCAATTGATAATACTGCTACACAACCATTCAATGAGGAGTGGCCTCTTTTCTGCCAGGTCCCATCGCAAGAAACCCCACAGTTTGAAAATCCTTCAACATCTTCACCTTTCAAATGGTGAATTTCTTTTTGGGCATCACTCGTGGTCTGATTGGCCACAGCTTTTGCTGCTTTGAGCAGAGCTTTGTTGTGCTTACTGTATGCCTTTGGTTTTGGTGGGGGTGGCATGTTCATAATTCCACAAAATCTCCTAGCGAATGCTTCCCCTTGCCCAATCGTTCTCATCCCATAAACAAGTCTTCTGTTCACCTCATAATAGCTTGATATCTTTTTAGACGTGTAAAAACAATGGTTACACCCACAGTCCAAGCATAATAATCGAAGACATGATGCACAACCATGCCTTTGAAAGGATACCTCTGTTAACTGAATATTTGACTCACCACACTCTTGGCAACACAAGAGCCTCAATACATCAGCCAAGATTTCCACATCCATTAGACGATATCCACTCAGACTGCTGCCGATTATTTCTTCTTTTTCTTCTTTAACCTCAAGCTTGGCCTTGATCTTCCTTTCTGAGGCAGACTAGATAGTTACATTTCCGTTGATAGGTTTTTTGATTTTCGCCGATTTAGGACTTCTCTGAATATGCTGATTTCCATGGTACTTACATTTATGGGGTCTATTGCCAGTTCTCCTTTTGATTCCACGCTGAATACTTTTTTGGTCCCATGATACAACTTAGAGAGAACGTTGGGCATGAGATTTTTTAACGTTTTCCCCAAAAGCAAGGGATTTGAAGGCTCTCAAAGCTGCTCTTTTCTCATTGGAACCACTTTTCTTCACCTGCTTCAGGCCCTCTGAAATATCAGCTGCCATTGCTCTCAAAGACTGTTTCTTTTTCTTCTTCTGGAGTCTTGAATGTGCCTGCCTTTACGAGATGTTTTCTTGTTCTTGCACTAGCACTTATTTTCTGGATTATTTCAGTGCACTTTTTTGGAGTTTCGGGCAGTGATTTTGTAACTTTCCTTACTGCCCTACTTGTCACCATTCTGTTTGTAAATCCAGTTGCATCGCCATCACAATCATCCGCTCCCTGTGCATCTGCAATTTGCTTTCTTTTCTCTCTGAACTTTTTTACTCTTTCCCTGGTTTGCTGCCTTTTGTTTTTCCATCTTCTCCTCCCAGGCAATTTTCTTTTCTTCTCTTTTGTGAGCCCGCTTCACGCTGTTTGCTGACTCCACCGTGTGTTGGCGAGTTCACTGAACAGGGCTTTCTTCAGTTGGCATTTTTCTCTAGCAGATGCAGCCCTCTTCTCGCAATTTTTCTCGTACTTTTGATTGTTCTGTCTATTCTTTTCCTTCTTTTTTCTTCTCCACTCTTCGATTCCT